TCAATTTCCTCGACCGGATTTTTTGCCCGAAAATGTTTTTGAGGGTTTTTGTAGTTTTAGAAAGAATACAGACATGTCGAAACTAATATGAGGCTGTCAGGGCCCAATAGGGCAGCCAACCTTCTAACACAAAAAATGCCGCTGCTGCCAATCTTCAGATTCCAATTTCAAACCAAGATGGCCAAGAATGTTCATACACGAGCGTTCTGCGGCAAAAACAAGTGAATGCATGCAAAAACTACATAAAATAACCTGTGTGCTTTACAAACAACTATTCGTACCAATTGAAATCATAAATCACTTTTGATAATTTGGACTCATAGGTTGGCTACCCTTTTGGGCCTCGGAAGCTCCATGACCTTCAATTTTCCCGACATGTCCGTACTCTGCCCTTATATTCTGCCTTGCTAAGGAAAAACGCCGTATGAATATTCGAGAGTTGCCAAATTTCCTTCAATAAAATGTTTATTTTCGAAGAAAACCATGGATGTTTTTCCTCGGAATTTTCAAGAAATTAAGGTGAAATTGCGAACGAAATAATCTGATAAATTGGAGGAAAAATGTTTACAAATTTTCCCGAGAATTGGTGATTTATGAAAGAAAATGTGGCAACGCCTAAAGGCTCATACGGCATTCTTCCTCAGCACGGCAGTATAGATTAGAGTACCTATATAGAGAGAGTATGGACAACTCGAAATACAGGGTGAGCGAAAAGTCCCCGACCCCCCTCTAACTTTTGAACGAATTGAGCTAGGGAAATGAAACTTTGGGAATGTTCCTATCTCAAAGGGAACCATCTTTTGGGGGGGGGCAAACTTTTGGTCCCCCCCTCAGGGGGGGACAGGGGCCCCCCAACTTTTTTTTTTCAAATGGCAACCCCTATCTTGTGATACCTCATTCAAAAGACCATAAAAAACTAAGAATTTTGGCGCAAACCGCAGATCAATATCTTAATTTTAGACCGAGTTATGATAGGTCAAAGGTCAAATTTGACCTGTTTTCAAAAAATCATAACTCCGGTTCAGATTATCGTAAAGAAAAAAATAAAACGGGAAAATTTACCAAATTGTGTCCGCTTTTAAGTAAAAATTGCAAAAATCACTTCGATTTAATTTTAAGGGGGGGCTCGGACCCCCAAATACGCCAATTCAAAGGTCATTCAATTTTCCCGCGAAATAAGCCAATTTCTCCTGGATTTGCCTCCACATTATCTTAGTAAGGTCAAAATTAGTTCAACATTACGTTGGCAAGTCTCCAAATTTCGGGACAAGTTAAAAAAAAAATGATATTTAAACGGTCAAATTTAATTACCTTAAATTTCATTTTTTTAACTTGTCCCGAAATTTGGAGACTTGCCAACGTAATGTTGAACTAATTTTGACCTTACTAAGATAATGTGGAGGCAAATCCAGGGGAAATTGGCTTATTTCGCGGGAAAATTGAATGACCTTTGAATTGGCGTATTTGGGGGTCCGAGCCCCCCCTTAAAATTAAATCGAAGTGATTTCTACAATTTTTACGTAAAAGCGAACACAATTTAGTAAATTTTCCCGTTTTATTTTTTTCTTTACGATAATCTGAACCGGAGTTATGATTTTTTGAAAATAGGTCAAATTTGACCTTTGACCTATCATAACTCGGTCAAAAATTAAGATATTGATCTGCGGTTTGCGCCAAAATTCTTAGTTTTTTATGCTCTTTTGAATGAGGTATCACAAGATAGGGGTTGCCCTTTGAAGAAAAAAAAGTTGGGGGGCCCCCGTCCCCCCCTGAGGGGGGGACCAAAAGTTTGGCCCCCCCAAAAGATGGTCCCCTTTGAGATAGGAACATTCCCAAAGTTTCATTTCCCTAGCTCAATTCGTTCAAAAGTTAGAGGGGGGGTCGGGGACTTTTCGCTCACCCTGTATGTAGCTCTTAGGGCCCGAAAGGGTAGGTAACCTTTGAAAACGAAAAATGTCAATGTTAATCTTAAGACTCCAATATCAAACGAAAATGGACAAGAAAATTCATAAGTAAGTATTCCTCCGCAAAAACGAGTAAGTTTATGCAAAAACCAAGTCAAATACGTGCTTTACTAACGACAGTTCCCAACAATTGTGAGTATAAATCACTCTATAATTTGACTTCATAGATTGCCTACCCTTTTGGGGGTCTAAAAGCTAACCTCAAAATGTTCGACATTTCCATTCTCTCCCTATATAGGTGCTCTAGTATAGATACCTCAACTTGTTTCCCAAATCCCTGACACATTCAAGAATTCCATTCGGCTTTGAAATGGACTGCGAAAGATTGGAGGAGATACCTTTTGGGGTTCTGATCGAGGTGGGCGAGAGAGCCGTTGGGGAAGGCGCTTGGCGGAAGTCGGGCGTGGGGGATGCAGACGCGGTAGCCGTGGTAGAGGGCGAAGGCGGAGGCGACGAGGACGGCCGGGAAGTGGGCGAAGGTGAGGAAGCGGCAGACGATGGTGTCGCTGCCGACGAAGCCGGAGAAGGTGGAGGAGCCGTAGAGGAGGCATCCGCAGGATTCGCCGCCGCGGCCGATCGGGGTGCCGTGGAGGTCGCGCAGCTCCTCGGAGCACTGGTCCAGGGCCCCGGCCCAGTAGCCCCAGACGATGCCCATGCAGACGAAGCACGTCGAGCCGAAGACGACGCTGAGCAGATAGAACAGCGCCAACCACCGCTCCCGCCAGTCCCCCATTCCGCCCCGAGGCCCCCGTCTCACCTCCTAATCCTGAAAACACACAAATCATATTCAATCAAATCATTGTTGCCAGCCTATCCCTGCTAAAAAAGACGAGTAGGCTATTCAGAATTCGCTAACTCACACTGGAAAAAAAACACATTGGATCTAGAGTCCAGACTCTTGAAAACATTAACAAGAAAAAATACTCTTGATTCAATCAGATTTTTGCCTAAATCAAAATGAAATCCGCTCAAATTAAGAGGCTTGGTTCTTGATTTAAGCAATCCGATTGAATCAAGAGTATTTTTTCTTGTCGATGTTTTCAAGAGTCTGGACTCTAGATCCAATGTGTTTTTTTTTTTTTTTTTTTTTTTTTTTTTTTTTTTTTTTTTTTTTTCCTGGATCGTGATTCTTCCGTTCTTTTTTTTTTTTTTTTTTTTTTTTTTTTTTTTTTTTTTTTTTTTTTTTTCCCCAGTGCGCACGAGTAGAACTTCCTACTTATATGGGTATAAATCCTACTCGTTTGAGAAGAAATTCTACTCATATCACTTAAATATTCTACTCATATCACTTAAATATTCTACTCATAAGAGTAGAAATAAGTTCAACTCGTATGAATTCAATTTTTTTCATTTTTCAGAAGTGCTTTTTCTGACCAGGAGACACCGACTCAAGTGGTAAATTTGAAAAATAAAAACATTTTGTTCCTATGATTTTTTTGATGCGGTGACTAGTTTCGGCGCTGAACTCATGTGAGTTGAAATCTCTAGTTGCACGAGTTGGCGAAAACTGGAATCGACGAACATAGAGCTCCGTCCTCATCCGCCATGTGTCACTCTCTCAGAAGAGGTAGCACAGTCAATTTTTAAACATGTGCCCCTTTGATCGCTTGAGAGACCTCTAACATTCTGTTCCTTTTCAAAATGATAATTGATTAGGGCACATCCTATTTTCGGCTGTGTCGCTCACTTGTCTTTAAGCACCACCATAAATGAGACAAACGAAACTAGCACAATGTGGAAAAAGAGCAAATGGAAAGACGGTGCAGAGATACAACTATTCGTGCTTGATGGGTGTCTAGGTTGCATCTGCAAAATTGAAGGCGCGATGGCGCGAGCTGTAAATTCGCGATGTTCCACAGCTTCGCTTTGTGCTGCCAATGATGTGTCGTGAGAAAATTAAGAAACGAGGCTCGATTATTACGGCTCTCCTATTTACGGCTGTGTTGTTCATATAGTCTTTAAACCACCGCTACAAAGAAAAATGAGACAAACTGGAACAAACATAGTCTGGAAATAGAGCAAAGTAAAAGGAGGCGCGTTGATGACGGCGCAGAGGATACAACTATACGTACATGGTGGATGTCCGTGTTCCATCTGCAAATCTGAAGGCGCCAGGGCGGGCGAACTCGTGATACTCCGTTCTATGCTGTCAGTGAGGTGTCGCTCACATTCGAGAGAAAAATTTAAAAAACTGGGACTCTGTTGTTCATCAATTTTTTCTTCTTTTCTCAATTTGAAGTCTGATTCTTTTTTCAATGTGCAAACATTTACAGACCTACATCTACGGCTCGTATGTAGGTACCGCGGGCCCTCACAACTCGCGTGGCACGTTTTTTAGACAAGTCTTCTGTCAATTTGACCAGGCTTCAGCATCAAAGGGTTAATGAAAATATAATTAAAATATGAATGCACCTTGTTCGCTAAAAACTCAGGATTCAAGAAGGGAGCCAAAAGAAGCCATGCCGTTCACAATCAGTCAGTGAATTTCAATAATATTTAGTCATGTTTAATCTTGCAAAATTAGGCTTCAATTATTATTGTTCGGTGACGTCCCGAAACGTTGTCATTGCTAACAAAATTATTGTTGAATGGGACCGCCATACATGTATCCTATCTCTTTATTTTTACTTTTCTTACTGAACACCCTGTCTCTGCTTCAAAATTTCACCTTGAACTTCCAAGATTGAATGTTTCATTTTTCGATGAGATTGATCTTTTCGGCGTTCATATTTCTCGGGTTCATGAACTCGAAAATGATGCATTATTTTCCGACTTTTAGTTTTTACATAAGCAGTATTAAAGGTTGCAAGTTCTGGCTCGATTCTTCTGAAAATAATGATGCATAGATGCGTCTGGAATCTAGCTTTGATTTTATAATTTGTTTTTTTTTTATTTCATAACTCTCCCGGTTACTTAAAAGTCTTCAATTTTGCAATTTTTGCTCTGTGGGACTACATAATAAACTTCGAACCTGAAAATAGCGTAAAATTTTGCTGAATTGCCAGAAAGTTCTGGACCGCCTTTCACGTCGGGGCGCCCCTTCCGTCGAGTTTAGTGGAATGAGGTAGAATAGGATGTTTCTTAGTGAGCATTCCAATGTCGCTAACCTTGCAAACATAAACGATCATCTAAACTATTTTCACCTCTACTCCCATGAACTATGAATTCGAGACGAAAATTACCGTCGCAAAGTTTACTTTTTGCAAAGAATGCACCTAAGTTGCACAATCCCAGCAACATTGAAATGCTCTTAGTTCCTTTTTGCAAAATGCGATCCAATCGGTTATTGCTGCAAAAAAATAGTTTCCCACAACCTGCTATACAGTGCTCCTGTGACCATGTAAGTTGGCCCGAGCACTAACTTTTCGGGAAGAAAGCCTTCCCCTACCTGGTTTCTCACTTAATATCCGCCCGAGTTTCGCATATCTTCCGTTTCTCCTCGTCGCAGCTTCCATCAAACCGCGATTGCCCAGAAACTAGGACCGCACATCTTATCTGATAAAATCGTTCACCCTTTAGACCGATTCTGGGGGGTTAGGCTAGACTAGTCGATGAGTCAACTGTTGATCTAATTTCATTACGTGAATGTGGAAGAAAAATGGGGTAAAAAATCACTAATGTGTGATCAATTTTCAAGGACAATTCTGTAATTTCTCCTACGATTTTAAATAGATTAAAACGCGTACCTAATATCCAAAATCTAAGCTAAGATTCGAATTCCTCGTGAAAAACTGATGCGATTTCGTGCATCAAATTTTAGAATAGCGTGAAGGAAAGAGGTTTAATGACGTAAAAAAACACTAATGTGTGATCAATTTTCAAGGACAATTCTGTAATTTCTCCTACAATTTTAAATAGATTAAAACGCGTAATATCGAAAATCTAAGCTCAGATTCGGATTCCTCGTGAAAAATTGATGAGATTTTATGCATCATATGTTAGAATAGCGTGAAGGAAAGAGGTTTAATGACGTAAAAAAACACTAATGTGTGATCAATTTTCAAGGACAATTCTGTAAATTCTCTTACGATTTTAAATAGATTAAAACGCGTAATATCAAAAATCTAAGCTCAGATTCGGATTTCTCGTAAAAAATTGATTAGATTTCATGAATCATATGTTAGAATAGCGTGAAGGAAAAAGGTTTAACGACGCGTATAGATTCTGTCATACCACCCCTCTGAACTGCGCCGCCGCGCCGCGCCGGTCGCCCGAGATGCAACCGAACGGTGAGGCGCCGGCGCTAAGTGTCCGATTTCGTCCCGAGGAATTCCTCACGATAAATAATTCTTATTCTTCCTCCTCCGCTGACCCACTGAGCACTACCCATGTTGCCACGTTGGATTCATATGCTCGAATCAGTAAGTATGTCTACGTTACGTCTCTTTCCTTCACGCTATGCTCGGGTATGCTACATGAAATGGGCCTGTTGCAAACTTTTGCTAGAGCAAAAATAAGAGTTGTTTCTTATAGATAATGCCTCAAAAATCACGATGAGCGCATCGGCAAAGTCTGAAATGCACTCATAAGACCTTGTCTCGACGGCGCAACTGTTGAGGGAATTAGGTGCAACTGTAGGTAGCGAGTTAGTTGCACCAACCGAAATTCCCTGTCTCGACGCGCACGCATGTGTTCCTGGAACTTTTAGGCGGGAATATTTGAACAATATTAATTTTTCTAGGTTAAACGATGTCAATTGAGATAATTGAACTGATAATTATGAACGGGAGGTGAATATTTTGTGTTATGTCGACCAGGTATAAAACAAAAAATACGGTCGGCAATACTCATCATGGCCGACGCCAATCCGCCAAAACACGCGTGATGTAGAGTCCCTTTATACCCAGAGTTAAGACAACTCACTTTTGGTTGGGCCAGGGTTGGGCTGAAAGTGGCCTAAAATAAATCCAATTCTGATTGGTTCTCGCTCATGGAGGCCGAAACGAGTGCACCAAGATGGTGGTACCTTGAATGTGAACAAGAATAATGAAAATATTACCTAATTGTGGTTTATCAAGAGTAAATTGTTATTGCCATCGGTCCAAAATGAAAATAGATTTATTCACAAACCAATCTCATTTTCTTTTTAATTGATCAATTTGTTGATGTTGTTGTTTTTGTGTGACAGACATCGCAGGATTCTTTATCCTTATCCCTCAATATCGTTCGTTTGGGTGCACTCATTTCGGCCTCCATGGCCAGCCAAGGCCGGCTGCCAGTCAGCAGTTAGCTGATAATCGAGTTGTCTTAACTCTGGGTATAAAGGGACTCTAGTGTGATGGGACGAGATAATATCTGAACTTGATTAGACCAGATAACAATCGGCGTGTTTTAACGTTCATGTTTTCCACGCCCGAATTGATTGACCTTGAACTTTCCTCGAATTACGCGCGGAACTGCGCGCAAGCGTCGGCCATGATGAATATCGCCGACGATGGAGCGACTCCTCTAACAAAATGTTCACCTGTGCCGTAGTATCGTTTTTGAAGCGGGAAGCTTAAAAAAACGCAAAATTTTTTACGCAGATTGTGAAGTTATGAGTGCATTTCAAACTTTGCCGATGCGCTCATCGTGATTTTTGAGGCATTATCTATAAGAAACAACTCTTATTTTTGCTCCAGCAAAAGTTTGCAACAGGTCCATTATTGTGCCAATTTTTAACGAGGAATCCGAATCTGAACTTCGATTTTGGTTATCACGCGTTTTAAGTCAAATTTTTCAAATTCGAAAATCTGAAATGACTGACGTGGCTTAAAATGCCATCTCGGCTCCTGTTCGATGGATTCTCCTGAAATTCGGTGTCAGGGTATGATACATGAAATCGCATCGATTTTTTACGAGGAATCCGAATCTGAGCTTCGATTTCGGGGATCACGCGTTTTAAATCAAAATCTGTCAAAATTCAAAAAATTCAAAATTCGAAAATCCGAAATGGCTTAAAATGCTATCTCGGCCCCTATTCGATAGATTCTTCTGAAATTCGGTGTCAGGAGGTATTTTTCGACGGGAAACTCGAATTTTTAGTCCATTTTTCAAAATTCTCAAATTCAAGATGGCGGACGTGGGCTAAAATGCTATCTCGGTTTCTGTTTGTTCGAGTCTTGTGAAACGCCGGTATCGCACGGTATTTTTCATTGGAAAACTCGAATTTTTAGTCAATTTTTTAAAATTCTCAACTCCAAAATGTTGGATGTGGCCTAAAATGAGCCCCGGTTCTGGCCTCCGTTTCTGTTCGTTAGAGCTTTGTGAACCGCGGGATCAGGAGTACTTTTCGACGGGAAACTCGAATTTCTAGTCGATTTTTGAAAATTCTCAAATCCAAGATGGCGGACGTGGCCTAAAATGCTATGTCGGCTCCTGTTCGATGGATTTTTTTGGAACTCTGTGTCTGAGGGTATTTTTCGACCGAAATCTCGAATTTTTACTATGTTTAAAAATTCTCAAATCCAAGATGACGGCCGTGGCCTAAAATGCTATGTCGGCTCCTGTTCGATGGATTTATGGCGCCCCCTTACTAACATGCCTACTCTTGTATTTCTGTACAGCCGCAAAATTTAGGGTCAAGGGGCGCCTGACCGTCTATGGACCAGGTGGAGTTTTTGTCCTGAAAATTTACCTTTAGACGGCAATTCTCTTTATGTTTTGTCTATGATTTTTATGCCCCCCCCCCTTTCTCGCGGACTCTCTTTTCACTTTTCTTGCCTCCTTTTTCCTTTCATTTCCCCCTTCTTCCTTGCTTTCACTGCCCTAACCTTGTTTCCTTTTCCTTTTTTCCCCTTGTCCTTTCTTCCCCTTTTTTCCTTTTCCTTTTCCCCCCTTTTTTCCCTCTCATCTTCTTTCGTGGCGCCCCCCAAAGGCTGGCGCCCGTGTGCGCCGCAGGCCCTGCACACGCCCTAAGTCCGGGCCTGCTTAGTGAGCAGTTCGACTGTTTTAGTCAAATTTTCAGAATTCGAAAATTCAAGGTGACGGATGCGTCCTAAAATGTCATTTTGGCGCCTGTTCAATCGATTTAGGTAAGTGATACGGGGTGTATGCGGCATGCGGGTACCTTATGAGGGGAAACTCAAATTTGTCGTTAAATTTTCAAAATTCGAAAATCTCAAATGACAAATGCGCCCTAAAATATTGCCTTCGTTACGACTGCAAATATCCTACAGTAAAATGCAAATTTGCCAGGAAATTTTGTCGACAGTTCTAATTTTTTGGGCCTTCACCAGGTACGAAAATTGTCCTCCTAAAATTTAAGCTCCTCGTTCTATGATCCATCCTCCGTAGCGAACCTTTTTCAAAGGAAAAGTAAAATCGATGACATTCTTGCCACTCGGTGCCACTACAAAAGGGTATGCAGAATACATTATCGGCTCTGGCCAATTTCCTTTGGGTGTTACTTGCCCCTTTTTTTCTTGGAACTCGGCATCGTATTTTGTAGCAACACATCAAAATGAAATCAGCATGTACAACAGACATAGGAAATCACTTCATACAACACCTGATCAGGATGTTCCCTCAGAGGAGCAATTTCCTCTCTGCTGGATCACCGTCTCTTTTCCGCGATCAAACACTGAATTTTCCACGTCAATAATGGGTGAAATACACTCTCGTCGTGTTCCTTTCGGAGATCGCACTTGAACGCGCACCTCACACTCTGCCAGATGCCATCTCACCACTTTCTATTCAATCGGAGTATAGTGCCCGGCGTTCTACGGCGGATATCTTGTATCACAGACGCTAATTTACAGAAACTACTCTAGAAAATCCACGCCGAAACAAGGGACTCCACAAAAAGCAAGCGACTCGATGGATCACGACGACAAATTCCTGTTCGGTGGGATCGACTGGAAAAGCATTGGGCAATTTGTGAGCGTTTGTTCCAGTTGACGTAATGACAATTTGCCAAATTGGGCTGGAAATCGAAAATTTTCTCCGCATAACTCGAAGTAAAGTTTGTAATTGGCATTTGACAATCTGACAACCAAGGTTGTCAGACTGAGTTAAAAATCGGCACTTTTTAACCGTGCAATTTGATATTTTAGAGGGTAGAGATTTTTACACGAGCTGACAAGCTTAACTGCTATTCTCCCCTGTAGAGCGGGACGCGAGGTCATGAGTTTAGACACCTATGGAAGATAAATCAGTCATATTTCGGTGCTATCCACTCGAGTACCCGGCGCTTATCACCTGTTTACTCCAGTGAGTTGCGTCAGCGTCTCTCCGTCACATTGAAACTTTCGCCCTTGCGCATGCGCGGGTTTTACCACGCAACATAGAGCAAGCATAGAGGGTACCGCGAGGTAGCTTGTTGAGGAAAGTCGGGTCAGCCCATCCGCCATCTTCGGGGGGGGGTTATGAAGGGATTCCCTCGGGAAATTTTTATTTTCCTTTCTTTTTTCATTCTTTCTTTTAAAGCACCGCTTTAAAATAAAATTATTTTACTACTACTACTACTACTTTTTTTCTTTTTTTCTTTTTTTCTTTTTTTCTTTTTTTCTTTTTTTCTTTTTTTCTTTTTTTCTTTTTTTCTTTTTTTTCTTTTTTTTCTTTTCTTTCTTCTCTTTCTTCTCTTTCTCCTCTTTCTCCTCTTTCTCCTCTTTCTCCTCTTTCTTCTCTTTCTTCTCTTTCTTCTCTTTCTTCTCTTTCTTCTCTTTCTTCTCTTTCTTCTCTTTCTTCTCTTTCTTCTCTTTCTTCTCTTTCTTTTCTTTCTTTTCTTTCTTTTCTTTCTTTTCTTTCTTTTCTTTCTTTTCTTTCTTTTCTTTCTTTTCTTTCTTTTCTTTCTTTTCTTTCTTTTCTTTCTTTTCTTTCTTGTCTTTCTTTTCTTTCTTTTCTTTCTTGTCTTTCTTTCCTTTCTTGTCTTTCTTTTCTTTCTTTTCTTTCTTGTCTTTCTTTTCTTTCTTGTCTTTCTATTCTTTCTTGTCTTTCTTTTCTTTCTTGTCTTTCTTTTCTTTCTTGTCTTTCTTGTCTTTCTTGTCTTTCTTGTCTTTCTATTACTGTTGGTGTAAATAACCTTAGATGCTAAAGCACCGCTTTAAAAGAAAATTATTTTACTACTACTGCCCTCTTTATAGGTGTAAATGGCCTTAGATGCTAAAGCACCGCTTTAAAATAAAATTATTTTACTACTACTACTACTTTTTTCTTTTTTTCTTTTTTTCTTTTTTTCTTTTTTTCTTTTTTTCTTTTTTTTCTTTTCTTTCTTGTCTTTCTTGTCTTTCTATTACTGTTGGTGTAAATAACCTTACATGCTAAAGCACCGCTTTAAAAAAAAATTATTTTACTACTACTGCCCTCTTTATAGGTGTAAATGGCCTTAGATGCTAAAGCACCGCTTTAAAATAAAATTATTTTACTACTACTACTGTCTTTCTTTTCTTTCTTTTTTTCTTTTTCTTTTTTCTTTTTCTTTTTCTTTTTTTCTTTTTCTTTTTCTTTTTTTCTTTTTCTTTTTTTCTTTTTCTTTTTTTCTCTTTTTCTTTTTTTTTCTCTCTTCTTAAGCTTCTTGCACCCAAAATGATCGATCAAAATCGTCGTCACTGAGTCTTCAAGACATTCGAGTTGTGAAACTCCCGAACCACGTAGGTATCTCGTTTGCGGTGTTTAAAAACCTCCGCTTCTTTGTATATCAAAAGATATTTATGAATTGAGGAAATTTTTTCTCTTATTTTGTATTTTTTTAAAGGAAAAAATCAACACCATTCCAGCAGCCCGATTGTTGAAAATGTCGACACGACAAGAATCGAAAATCGATATATTACACGGCGCAGATAGGGCTTTATGTCTTGCCTTATCTTACCGACGTGGCCAGTTAAAGTTTCAACAATCAGGCTGCTGGAAGTTTTACCAGAATTTGCCTCTCGCGGGGAGGAAGAATCTCGGAACTTTTTCAGAATCGAAATTGAGTAGTGATCAATTTTTAAGATAAAGTATGGCGAGAAGTCTAAAACGCTGCAAAGCGAGATATGTGGTTTGGAAGTTTCATCGTCGATTTGCTTGTTGATCAAAACCCTAAAAGCACTGCTTCTACAGCCTCACCTATTGACACTGGCCGACACTAGTTAGCGGAATCATATTTCTGCGTTTTTCACTCAATCTGTTAGTTTACCCTCAATCTGTTAGTTTACCCTCAATCTTTCAATGTGAGCTACTTTAACGCATATCGACGGTGAAACTACCAAACCACGTATCTCGGTTTGCGACGTCGCAGACTTCCTGTCATACTTTATTTTTTAAATAAAAAACTACTTAACGTCCAGTCTTGAAAATGTCTGTGATTTTTCCTCTTCGTGCGGAGAAAATTCTGTGAAAATTTCAAGGAATGATATTGATTTGGTCTACTTCAAAAAAATAAAATGCGAGCGTAGATTTTTAAACACCGCAAACGAGATACGTGGTTTGGTAGTTTCACCGTCGATATGTAGTTGCTTGCAGCGTGCCGTTAGTTCTTGCACGCCAGGCTGTTTTAGTGTTGGCGGTTTAATATCATAGGATTTCTATTTAATCCAACCAGTTCGCCTTAATAGCTTCGGTTAGGCAATATGGGCTGCCTCAAGGCAGCAATAGTTGCTCGCAGTACTGCATGTGGTTTGTCAGTTCAAGTGAGGAAAAGGAGATGATTCTACAGTTGAATACATCTACAACGGGGCTAAGCTTGCATCATTTGTCACAAGGAATATCCAAATACTCTAAAATGGAATTATGAGGAAAAGCTCAAAGTTTGAGAACTAAAGATTCCAAAGCTAAGAAAAACGCAGATAAAGTTTTAAGATAATTTTGGAATTGCATATCATATATCTGTTTGAATTGAACTTGAATAAAATACCTTTAACGTGCATGCTCATCGGACACAGGCTGATGGATGAGGCGTGAATCGTATTTAATTTTGCGATTAACATTTAACTGCAATTTTTTTCCGGAAACGACGCAATTCTTTCAGCAACATGTGTAGGTACAGTTTTCCTCATTGCTTAACATCCCTGGTAAACATTGGCGATAGGAGCTGCGTTTCAAAATACCATAGGAGTTCTTATAGCCGACTGAAGAAGGCGATAGAAAATCATATAGTTGGCTGTAGAAAGTGGAAAAAATCATACGGCCGGGCTACACGAAGCGATAAAAAATTATACAGCCGGGCTATAGTTCCTATCGCAGGGCTTTACACTTTATCGCCTGGCTGTTGCTTTTTCGCCATCGGCTATAAAAGGCTAAAAGAAATTGTGTAGAAATTCGTGTGCTTTGTAAATCCTTAAGTTTGTACGGAATCACCTTAATATTTACAAAACGCACATAATTTTTTTTTCATCAATTAAAATGAGAATAATCCATACAGAGTGTGCAAACATTTCTAAGTCATGAGTTGAAAAACGCCGACTCCACGAGATTAAATATTAGAGCCTAACACGGCGGCGCACTGGCGCCTACAAACCTAACAGGGATACTTCACGCATTGCGCAATGCGTGAAGTATCCTTCTCAGGTTTGTAGGCGCCAATGCGCGTTTCGCGCTGGCTGTCAGCCCGCCGCGTCGCGCCGCAGCGTACCACGGCGCTTGAAGCAACTATTTCACACCAGAGGTATTGCACAGTATCATACGACATTGAGGGCGCTCCAACATAATAGGAATGGCAGGCATCCATCAAAAGTACGGAGCTTTCCTCGCAAAATAAATCAAGATACTACGGCCCAAAAAGAGAGCAGCACTCCAAAAACTCACTAAGTCCTAGCATCCGTAATTAGTGACGTTTAGCATACACTTTATCGCCTGGCTGTGAGTTGCTTAATCGCCATCGGCTATAAAAGGCTATAAGAAATTGTGTTGCTGGCTATAGAAGCCATTGGAAATCTTACGGCCGGCTGTAGGTCTATGGTATTTTGGAACACAGATTCTACTGCCAATTTTTACCAGGGATTTAGACGATTAAATCTTTGATATTGTACAGAGAGATTGCTACTAACAGGTGAATGGTCCATTCTGCTGTCATTTCAACCCGTAATTATTATACATATCTTTAAACGCGCATCACTTGATAAAAACTTTTCTGAATATCTAAAACTACGAAAAGGTTTTACTTCATCACATGCAGAGAGACACCACCGTTTATCAAAGTGAGTTTGTTGAAAATAGGTGACCTAAATTGTTAAAAGACAATGAATGAAATCCAGTATGATTTGTGGGTCTTTATTTCGTGACATATTCGACAAAAACATTAACATTCAAAAGCGGTGTGAACGACAACAAGAGAGAGGGTATTTTGTTACATTTGGTTAAAGAATGAGTAAATCACCAAATCGCTCAAAGTGAGATTGAGATCAATTGTGACCGTACAAAGGGGAAGCAGGTATAACTTCACGCGTGACACGACTGAGCCAGATTTTCAATCATATACTCTAAAAGAGGAAATTATTTATGCTCATGAAGCGTTTATTATTCTCGCATAACTTGCACCGACTTGTCCAAAAAAGAAAGTATTTATATAAAAAAAATCAAGGTATGCATGATTCTGCTTTCCACAAAAATGTCATGTTTACCTGCATGCGTTCAAGTGCTTTGAACTAGGTACTGAAAATTGGAGTATTCAAGTGCAAGAAATAGGTAAAAAATTGCTAATAAAGAGCTTGATGCAAAAACGGCTTTTTTGGCCCCCCCTCTGGAAGTTCTTTAGACTTTGTCTATTCATTACTCATACTTGAGCGCTTCTTTCCCCAAATTTTCAGACCCCCAAAAAATTTTGGGGGGGAGCTAGGGGGGGTGGAAGTCAAAACCTGTGAACCTCGATATCTCTTGAACGAAGAAAGATATCGAGGTCCAGTTTGGACGAAAAATCGTCTAAAATTGCATACTTTAAGATTCTAAAGGTCGAAATCCCGATATCACATTTTTAAGTCAACATATGTGCTTTTTACCAGTTTTTTGGGTCACTGAGTTCAGAAATTAGCGATACTTCCAAAAAAATCACGTTTTTAAAATTACAGCTATTTTAGAGACCCACTGAGCGCCGACCGGCCGCTCAGTGGTCCTGTCCGAAGCTGCAATTTTAAAAACGTGAATTTTTTGGAAGTATCGGTAATTTCTGAACTCGGCGACCCTCAAGAGTCCCTAATAAAGCATTTTGCTTATTTTGAACATTCAATCTGATCTAATAACAGTCAAATCCGACTTTTTTGCGCGCGAAAATCGGTCGGCGCGCGTTGAGCGGAAACTTCAACCGATCATAACTCCGGAACCGTTTGGTTCCCCATCTTAATGGACCACTCGTTGGATGCGGAAAAAGACGAACAATTTAAAAAACTGGTTTCAGTTCAAATAGAAAATTGAGATCTTTGTAAATTTTTCGTTTAAAAGAAATTTTCTAGACCAAAAAACTGGTAAAAAGCACATATGTTGACTTAAAAATGTGATATCGGGATTTCGACCTTTAGAATCTTAAAGTATGCAATTTTAGACGATTTTTCGTCCAAACCGGACCTCGATATCTTTCTTCGTTCAAGAGATATCGAGGTTCACAGGTTTTGACTTCCACCCCCCCTAGCTCCCCCCCAAAATTTTTTGGGGGTCTGAAAATTTGGGGAAAGAAGCGCTCAAGTATGAGTAATCAATAGACAAAGTCTGAAGAACTTCCAGAGGGGGGGGGGGGCGAAAAAAGCCGTTTTTGCATCAAGCTCTTTAAACACGAAGCACGTCAATTTTGACCAAAATAAATTATTGGCAGTTCTACAAATTTTCTTTCGCGTAGATTAGTTTTTTTTTTTTTCTTAGTATAATGACTTGTCCAAAGTGAGGCTAAAAAAAATATATATCTTAATTGCTGTGTTTCAAAATTTCAGCGACTTCTTTATTGTTTTACAAAAAGAAACTTAATTACACCTTCGCAGGCGATTTGAAGGAATATTTTTGGATGCTAACTGAGAGAACCCTTTCAAAATTTAACGGCTCAAAAACGACCTTCCATTTGAGTAATATAAATGTGCGAACGTCTTAAATTAGGAAAAGTGTTTTTCTAATTTTCTCATCAGAACAAAGAAAATATACCTATCGCTATGTTTAAAGTTTTACAAACTAAACCACTTTGAAAACATTTTGACACTTCTCTCTGCCTTTTTTCCATCGAACCATAAATGCTTTTGAATTTTTTAGTAAAGCATATGATGATACTACATTTAAATTTCACAGTGAAGTTTAATTTTTTTGGAAATTTAAGTACATACTCAAACGAAATACGAGTTATAAAGCGTCCATTGTCTGTTTTACGTTGAATCACTGAAAAATGAAATTATTTGAAAGGCATTCAAAGATTTTGTCAATTTTTCTTTCGTTGACGAATCCATCTGAGCGCATGCTTTTCATGGATTGAATAATATGCAAGGTAACTCAGATCTCTCAGTCACTATCTAGACTAAAAAATTTCGAGAAATGTTGAAGAGATCTCACTAATCTCATTCGATGCCATTATTTCCAGGACTAAAAGATACGTACCTAAATATTTCCGAGTCCCAAAACTTTCATTTAAAGGTTAGATTTCGAGGGTAGGTGACTAGGCAACCAATTTACTAGTCTATTTAGGTTTTGAAGCACTATTGTACATTTGATTTCACAGATCATGCTCTTTCTCTTTTCTAAGGTCCTCTGGTACCAATTTACAGGGCCGGATTTAGCTTTTTGCCGCCCCTGGACAAGCTACATTTTGCCGCCCCTGGGTCTACAATATTTCGCCACTAAGTATATTGTCAACAGTATCCCCTCCTCCCCCTCCCCCTCTCCGCACTCCCAACTTCCCACGCCATCTCATCTTGCCCCCCCCCCCTCGTGCACCGCCTGCGGGCGCGTGCGCGTAGCTGCTTCAAAATGCGCCGCGAATATATAAAATGGAATGGATGGATAAGACAAAAATAAAATGTGGAGACAAAGTTGAAGCTAGTGTAGCTCAATGTATTAGTTGCATTGTATTTTTGGAAGATCAGGTTAAAAAGTTTTTCTCCGGGTTTTCAGTTTAGGAAAGCTGTCAACCAGAGCATCAACGTCTAAATTGATTATCAAGTCTGCCTCGATGTTTAAAATTGCCGTGTTGTTTAGTATCACTCCAACGAACGATCATCCTAGCGCTCAAGGCCGGACCTAAAGGGCGGCAGCTTTGCCGCTCCCGTCAAGCGGCAACTCCCTTCCTTCATACATTTTGCCGCTCATCTTTTCACTTCGCTCCGTCTGTCTCCATTTTTTCCTTTTTTCTCGCTTTAACTTTCAATTAATCCAGTACCAAAATTTGCCGCCCCTCAAAATTTGCCGCTATGGGCAAGTGCCCCAGTGCCCTCTAGGTAAATCCGGCCCTTGGGCATGTAAACTACTTAAAATTTAAGACAAAGAAATAGCAAGGTGTACCTAAATTGTTTAGGTTTATGCTAAGAAATGGTTTACATCAGATTTCATCCTGGAGTTACAAAATCGATGATCAAAGTGCAAAACCACATATATCCGTCTGCGACGGCGCAGACTTCTTGTCATCACTACTTTATTTTTTCCTTGGAAAACCAGGGAACTTAATTTCTTGAATACTTCATCCATTTTCTTCCTTCGTTGGCAGAATATTCTGTAGGTATAAATTTCAATCCATAAAGTTGGCTATAGTCTCACTTTATATAATATATAAAAAAAAAAAAAAAAAAAAAAAAAAAAGTAGCAACAATTTTAAAACACCGAGATACGTTGTTCTGCACTCTGGCCATCGATATTATTGTTTACTAAAAAGTTTTAATATTAAACCTAACATCTTTCAAACCAAATTTTGCGACGCGCACCTTGATTGGTTATAAGATTTCTCTTTTACTTAAGTAGATATGCAAGGTTCAGACCGTAGGCGTATCAAAAACTACCACCGCTCATTTAAAATTATTGACATGTATGAGCTTTAAAAATATTAAAAAATATTTTCTGTCCATTTTTCTGCGGTGCCTAAAAGACCTGTTACTTATTCTATAATCACACTTATTATTTATTCTGATAAACTCCGTAACAAAAGTAAAAAAGCGTAGAAAATAACTTCAATAAAGGATCTCAAGTAAACAAAACTCTTCCTATCAGCACAATAAATTAATAAAATGAGCAATTTTAAGTCCACACCTATTATTTTTTATCAAGCTAATAAATAAAATTAAATTTACGAGTGTAGAGTAAAAAAAATGCAAGAAATAATCAGCGATGGCTCGATTTATGACGAATTTCTCGATTTCCAGGAAAAATAAACTTATTCGTACTATTATTCTTTTTGGCAAGGATCCGCATTTCAGGACTCAAAAGATGATGGACGCGAACCGCGAAGAAAAATCCCGTCAGCTAAATGCTTACTAGATCAGAATTCCTCGCTCAAAAAGTTCGTTCCAAAAAATGTGACATCACCCCTTCTCACGTGACAGCTATTGGTTTTAGGGCGAGAATTTTAAAGATCACGGCCCATTGTTCAAAGCAATTTATAAGGCAAATCCGGACCATCCAAAGCTACATCTAAGACTTATTTCTTAAAAGACCCATATGAGATTCTAAATATAATCATTAAGTTTAATCAGAACAGCTAGATCGGTGGAAAGCAATTACTGATGATTGCAATTATAAAAATTAAGAGCACTGAAGTATGAGCAGTCGATCAAAATATTGAAGTCCTTGAAAGAATCGATGATTTGCAATTTGATTCTGTCTCTTTCCTCGAGTGACTCTGTAAGGAACCCAATAATAACACTACTAGATAGTTCAAATCAATTCTAAGACTCAATGACGCCGTCGAAGGAGACACCGTTTTCCGTCTCACCGATTTCATGGACGTCGATTTAATTCAATATTATCGGATAAAAAATTGCGATAAATTGCAATTTTGTTGCATACATTCGCAATAAAATCGCGATTTTATCGGCGGCGATTGATCGCGACATTATCGAACAACAAATCGTGATAAATAAAATTTGAATTAAATTTCGATTTCCTTTACCTAACAGGACTGTTTAGAGATAAAATAGCGACAAGATCAAGGACAACCGCTCAGATGGTGATGATCCTAGGGATTCTGCCGCCAAAAAGTCGTGGAAAAAATTGCGACTTAATTTCAATATATCTCGATTTATCTGTTGAATAATGCTTTTTGGGCAGTTAACTCTGGGCTTTCCCATTCCCACCATTGTTTTTTGCGTTAAATTCACCACAAGCTGTACCAAAATCAACATATTCGGGTTTGGTTTGTTTATAGGCCTCGATACACAATCGAATTCCCGAACCAATTGCCATCAAAGTGTCGGGAGTCATCCGTCTAAAAATCGTTACTTTCGCTTCATTTTAAAATGAGAACTTGGCAGAAATGTTCCGTGTGGCAAGAAATCATGAATGGTGGCACTTCATTCCGATCAAAATTTGACGGTCCGTCCAATTTTGATCAAGGAAGACTGTTGCATGGTGAACATCAGTCATCAACTGGTCTACTTTGATCGGAATTTGATCGTGTATCGAGACCTTTTCACCTCCGATATCAACCAAAAGTAACACAAGGATACAAACATTTTCATGAGTGTACTAAGCACTGACATGTTCTTTTCCTTCCGGAAGTTGAAGACTCGGCGTTCACGCATTGCATGTTTAAATTAAACTTTTTTGAAAACCGATTATATACATATAATCGATTATATATATAATCGTTTATATATATATATATATATATATATATAATTGGTTCTCAAAAAAGTTTAAGTTAAGCAAATAATTTATGTTCATAGTGCCAATAAAATTTCAAAAAGTATGCAATATGCAACAACATAGTTCACGCATTGGCCTCGCCGGGGAATTTCACGAAGCCGGGGTTCCTGATCAACCCTTTAGCGAGCTCCAACTCCTCGTCGTCATCGTCGACGAACTTGATCTCCTCATCCCCGGCCGAGATGCCGATCATGGTCCTCTGGCTCGGCGACTTCTCCACCCTCGTCTCCTTCTCCTTGACGATGAAGGCCTGGTGGACCTGGACCGGCGGCTGGAGTTTCCCGCACAGGAGCCTCTTCAGTTCGGGGGTGGAAGCTAAGGCACTGCTGATCTCGGACTTGGAGCCGGAGTTCTCGCTGGCGCAGCAAGTCGACTCGGAGTCGGTGTTGGAGTGGGGCCGGTCGCTCCTCAGCGTCTGGAGCTCGACGTCGCCGTTGACGTCGCCGTTGACGTCGTTCCAGTTCCCCGGGGCGAACGGCGGGATCCAGACGCAGAAGGCCGGGTCCATCCCAAGGTAGGAGCCCGGCACCGTGGAGGCGTTCTGGACGTTGTAGTCGTAGTAGTCCATCTCGAGATCCGTGTCGCAGCCCGTGAGGCTCAGCTCCGAGCCGGCTCCGCCCATCATCCGCTCCCAGTTCTTCCGATCCTTCCGAGCCTTCGAGTCCATCTGCGAGGAGCTCGATGCCGGTGATATGTCGCCCTAGAGAAATTAAACAAACGTCAAGTAGCTACGGCAACCCATCTTACGAGTTCTTTCATGCAGAAATGAATCGATGAGAACGAAAACACACCAACTCGGAAAAATGAAAGTAATCTAGACACACGCAAAACTGCACAGTAGATGAAGAAATTAGTCTAAGAAAAAGATGTTTAGTGCCGAGAGACAGGCACTTACGAACATGTTAAAGGTCCAAGTTGGAACAGATGCGCTAACTTCAATGCCCTTCATAAAAATTGACCGTCTTCAATGAAAGTTGCGCATTTTCGAGTTATCGAGTTGGTGTGTTTTCGATCTCACTGATTCAAATAGCATGCGAAATGGAGATGTAAAGCAGTATAAAACTCGTAAAAAAATATTCAAGTTGACAGACAGTAATTTCGCTTACAGCTCGTAGGATTCCTCACAGCTGGCTATAAGAATCCTTACAGCCCGCTATAAGATTCATATGCAATCTTTTATCTTCCTTTGGCAAGATTCTAATACGAGTTTTTTTATGTAAAAACTGAAACACGTGAGAAACTTCTTTATTTTACAAGTTTTGTACGAGCTGTTGTAACTCTTAAGTTTTTTACGAGTTTTTTTACAAGTTGTTCATGAACCGCTGCTACAAGGGAATGCATGAGTCATGCAGTTACGCTGATTACAGAATCGTGTTTTGATGCTTGATGCTTCCAGATGAGCTATAAATAATAAGCTTTGTCCAAACACCAACTCTCTGCGTTAATATTAACGGCGATATCGCGCTTTGAACAATCCGTTCAATGGCGTCATCCACCGCGGTCGTGACACCCTTGGTTTCTTCCACCTTGCTTTCATTTGTCAGAGGGACGCACATTTTCACTGGTTACTCGACAACGTGAAACTCGGATGAAAGGAAGGTGGAACAAACCAATGGGTGTCACTACCGCGGTGGATGACGTCATGAATCGAATTGCTCGAGGAGCGATATCTCGGTTAATATTCAACGTAGAATGTTGCTGTTTGGACGGACCTTATTATTTTTAGCTGATTTACAAGGATTATTCTTCAAAACATGATTCTATGACCAGCGGAACTAATCCTCTGTATTTGGGTAGCGGTAAGAACTATTGGACGTATTTCTGTCAAACGGAACTAACAAGGGGAGCTTCCCAAGTGTAACCGGAATTTCGAGTTGAAATTTCGCATGAAGATACTAGAGATGATTTTAGGGATGCCGTATTTTTTCGTTTTTTCGAATGGGGTCGGGAAAGCCCTCAAAAAAGGGG